ATCTGGGTTATTCCAGTCCTTATGGACGAGCTATCTTGATTAATGGTAAGAAGCTAATAACACTATGTCACTATCACATGCTTCACGAAATTAATTATCCTAGCGCATTAACACACAAGCTATGTCTTAAGGGTTGTAGATTGTTAGAATTGGACAAAGTTGATAAAGGAAATTCTGAATTCGGAAGGCATTTTTGGGGAAAAACTAAAATATATATTGCAGGAGTGACAACTCAACTTTGTTAGGAATCTGGCAATAATCCAAGTGAAAACAGTAAACAAGCACTATGGATCTGATAAGAAAATTGGGAAGATGAAGTTTATTGATAAGAAAATATCTCAACGTAGGCAACAAGGCAACCGGGACTGTTAGAGAAGCCCACTCTCCAAGGCAACACCCAAATCAAAATACAGCCTATCCTTATTTAGTTATCCCCTTGCTATTTATAGTAATAGGTCCACACAGGGACTAAAATAGATAAAGTGATTCATAAATTGATCCCAGCCCTTTTATTCTCCTCTTGTACACTTTCTTAAAGTAATGACTAGGCCTTTGCACCATTTGCCTAAGTAGCCTAACAAACTTTTAACGGCACTAAGAGGCCAAGTGGCAAACTAAAACGCAGGGACTAAAATAGATAAAGTGATTCATTAATTGACCCCAGCCCTTTTATTTCTCCTCTTGTACACTTTCTTAAAGTAATGACTAGGCCTTTGCACCATATGCCTAACAAACTTTTAACGGCACTAAGAGGCCAAGAGGCAAACTAAATTTTTTTGGTCCCTTTTATTTTATTGATGTTGCCATTTAATTGTTGCCTGTGTCATCTGTTGTGTTGTATTATTGTTCAAGGTTTTTACTATAAGCACTTGACCTTATTCATTAATAATTGATTGTGGGGAGCGGATTGTTGACTATGGGTTTGCATGCGTGCTCTTTACCTTCTGATCATATTTTCTGGTAGAGAAAAGAGAATAGTTGTTTAGTATATACACTGTAATTAAGTTTTCTTCCATCAATTTTTTGTTCAATAGTTGTGAATTGTGTTTTAATATGTAAAAAATCACATGCAGGTTTTGCATGCATTCTTGAGCTATTGGCAGAACCATTTTTTATTTTGGCCCAAAAATTGGCTCTTCTCAAATTGCGGCTGATCGTTGAAACTGCTGCCACTCTTTCACGTTGTATAGTAACATATGCTCTCATCCTGAAGCAACCAAGCCCGGTAAGTAGTAATGCTAGATGTGTTTTGTGGTTTCCTGACGGGGCCTATGCTGGTATTAAGTGTATCTGTATGGTAATAAACCTATGTGGGTCCTGTGTGAGTATGATAAGAGTAATAAGACCTAGATGAATTAATTTTCGTATTTTGTAATGTGGACACCAAGGATGCCTAAATCGTAAATTTGAATCAAACTGGTGAATTAAATAATAAAACACGAAATCATGAACTGGAAATTTTTCTAATAGTAATTAAAAAGTTCTAAAATTAGTGACAAGAAAAGAAAGATTAAAATAAAAGTTTGATTAATAAATTAAAAATGTGTTAAAACCACTTGAAATGTGATCTAACCCATACTAACCCCACTTAGCAAATATACAAATCCAAGCACTTCCTTTTTGGTAGTTTCTTCTCTTCTTCAAAAAACAGCCATTTTTTTCAGCCGCACAAAAAAAAAAAAGAAACAGGACATAGCAATCAATAGCAAAAATCCTGGGAGAAGATATTTCAATCAGACCACCTCCAGTCTCCTTCAAGTCTCATTTAATTCGAACAACAAGCACTATGTAGAAGAGTGCAATCGATGATCTATCGGCTTGATGTTAAGATTTTGATTCAGTGGTAAATAGTTTATATTTTCTCTTTCCGTTTGGGGCTTAACAAACACAAAAATAACTGAATTTGATGCTTCTAGACTACCATAAATAAGGAACCTCTACATATCACATTAGGCTAGAACAGCTATAGACTCACATAGTCCTATCTGGTTAGACTGACATAGTCCTAAAGCACAATCGATCCGTCAGGACTATGTGAGTCGATGTCAGTGGATGTTTGGCGTCGACTGGTACAATTCTTCTACGGATCGATGACACTGGCAAACTGGTACAAGTTGCTCGCGGCGAAACCTGCGGAGTGGGGCCTGGGGCCTGGGGGGAGTGGTTAGTGACTACGAACTGGGGACTTCTGCTTGCGGCGAAGCTGGCGAATTAGGAGAAGTTGTTTGCGACTGAGACAAAACCTGCAAATTCAGAGTAGTTAGCGACGAAGCTGTAGTATTGGGAGAAGCTGTTTGCGTTGGCGGGGAGCCTTGCTTTCAGAATTCCGGCAACATCGCACGGTCCTTGACCCCCCTCTTCGTCGACGACGTTGTTGCAGCAGATGGTTGCAACAATGTTATTCTACACTTCCAATGTTATTCTCCATCTGCACACGTGTAAAACTTACTTTCTCCAGCAATCGTCAATGTTCTGATACCAATGATAGGAACCTATTCTTACAGTAGAAACAAACAATACGTATAATCAGTAGAAAATATCAGGATTCACTAAGCTACTTCAGGAAACAAGCTTACAAGGAAGCTATTGTCTAGCGTAATAAGAAAGAATAGAAACAATGAGACACTTCAAGCAGCATCCCTCTCCCAAGCCCAATTTCAAATGAATTCTAGCCCGGCCCTCTCCCTTTTCTATTCCTTCTGTTTTTTATTTTCTAATGAGGCTTCCCCTCAATCTAACTAGTTACTTGGCCCAGCCCACTTCCTTTTTACTCATTAAAATATCCAGTATTATTTCTATTAATTCTCTTTCCATAAGTCCAGGTCCCTATTACTCAGTGCCTCAGTGCCGCAGAGGCATAAGCCTCGCCTGCTGTTTAAAAGCATGCTCATGAGCCTTATTATAAAGCAAAACAATAATCCACAATCAAGATTTGAATGTGCAAAACTTCAAACCAAGCAATCTGAAACACTTAATAGTTAAGAGTTCAATGCACCCCTCCTTGCTAGCAAGTTTACCCTCAAAATTGAAGGATAGATATCGGTGTCTAACTAGTGCTTCTTTAGCTCCATGGTGTAATTGGTAACCAAGAATGGGGTGAGGTTGTTGAAGCCTTGAAGAGATTCCGGAGCGGAGGCAGTGGAAGTGAACTGGCAGGCCGTTCCCTCAGAATTCCTGTGTCAATGTGACATGGAAGTCATTGTGAATGCGGTTGCAGTGGGAGGGACATTGATACACAACTTAACCCCCTTGGCGTTGAATTTGATAAGTGCAAAATAACCGAGAGATGAAAAACGTTGGGGATGTGGCTGTCAGGTGGAAGGGCCAATTGAAGCGCAACTTGACCCTCTGCATTTGGTCTGATAGTGGGAAAACCAAGGAGATAGTGTTTGATTGGCACTAAAGCAGGCCAACCTGTGTTGGTTGGGACGGAGACTGAGCCAGACCCATGAGTGTCTTGGGCTGGATGCCCCTAGTATCTTTATTTGCTACACTGTCATGCCTTGGGCACAGAGTAAGCAATCCCGAGTGATGGAGAGAATGTTAACTTACTGTTGGAGAAAGGCATTAGTTTCGCTGAAGAATGAATCAAGGGGATATTTGATGAGTTATTTGATGTTGGGGTCACTAAATGACTAAAAGAAAGAACTTACCCTTTATATTTAGTTTGTTCTTGAAAATTATGAAGAATATTTCCCCCTAATTACCATATTCCCTAGGGCTGTGGTAACTGCATCCATATTTGTAAAACTTCAAGTTAAGATCTTAACTGTCAAGTCCGAAGGCTGATTCAATTTCTTCTCTTAGAAATATTGCCTTTCACAGTTCCGCTACTTGATGTTCATCTTGTAGTTGTTTGTATGATGACTTTGCTGTCTAAAGGCCAAACCATGTATTTCACAACTGTATGCATCCTAAGTCCTAACCTGAAAATTTGGAATTTCTTCATAGATTTCAGCTTCCTTACCACTACATAATACTTCAATGCAACTTTCCACTTCATAATAAATTCAATGCAACTTTCCTTCTACATAATACTTCAATCTCTTAAGTATCTCCTAGGGTTAGAGGTAAGATCTATGTACTTGTCACCCTCCATTGACCTTGCTTTCAACTGGGGCATACTGGGTATGTTTTGTTTTGTTTGGTATATGTAATGATAATGTGCTCATATCTTGATCTAGAGAACATTCAGTTACCACACTTGTATTCTGACTGGTTTCTTTTTACCTGTCTTATATCTTGTAAATTTATATTCATGTTTTGCTTGGCCAATGGCCATTGTATTGCTGAATTTATCTGTTTGTGTAGTCTCCAAGTCCGTTTAACTGCACCTGCTGATTATTGATGAGTCACATATGACATGAATTGCAGGAGAAAGCAATTGTATTTTCAATGTCACAGGTTGCGTATGGAGCATCTATTTTCATAGGCTACTGGGCTTACTTTTTTCTGTGCCAATTATACACAACTCGTGTTCTATTTCCATTCAGGTAGTGATTTGATTTATCCAATCATCTTCAGCTGTACATTCTTTCTACATAAAAGCCGGGGGGTAGAAATTTTGTTTCATAATGGAATTCAAACGCGTTTTCCATCATTTGCAATGGAGCCAAAGATTCACTATTTTTGGCTTGAGAATATAATGGAATAAAGCAAAATGGCTCACTAAACTGACTGCGCTTTTTGGTTATGAAGCAACATCTATGCAATTTTGGATGCGATTTTCACTATGGGTCATCCAGAAAAGTCTCTCTGTGCTTTAGTACAGGGGTTAGACTGCGTACATCTGACCCCCCCTTACCCTACCGTAGGTGGGAGCCTTTGCGGCACTGGGGTAATGATAATGATGATGATGAATGGAATTCAAACGCTGTTGAAGGTTCACTTATCAGTGAATGACTCCTGTTAGATTACTTAGATAACAATTCATCACATGAAGTCTTGGCAGTTTAATAGCTCTCTGAACTCTGTGAAGTTCAAAGATGTGATGTGTGCACGGTTGAGCGTTAAGCAAAATAATACTCCCTCCGTCCCTATATAAACTTCCATTTCGCTTTTCGAGGGTCAACTTAAATCACACTTAAACTCTTACTTTATGTATCAAAATTTTATAAAAAGTGAATTATTTTTTGCAGGCTTTGTAGCGGGTTTGATGTAGTTTCTGAATATGTAAATTTTATTTTCTAAACATAATCCGAGTTTTCACAGGGATCATTTAACTTTATCGCTGGTCAAACTTCGTAACCCGCAATTGGAAGTTTAATATGGGACGGAGGTAGTAATTGTTAATAATAATAATGCTGTAATATATCTGTAGAGTTGAAGTCACCGTTTATTCATAATAAGAGATGCAGTAGATTATAAATACGGGGACGATAAATCTATGTTTTCTTACACTTCTGTCCAATATTTGGAGTTATTCCAGACTATCAATAAAAAATCTTTGCTGCATCACTGCATTGTCCCTGCCATGTTCCCATTATAAGAGATAATGAGTAAAAAGGGGAAATGTCTTCGTCACGTCCCATACACATAATTGATAATTCCCATTCCCTTGTTTTTAGAAGTGTCTGTGTACTATTTTTAGAGATGTTGCTGCTGGTTTCTAATAGATGCCATCCAGATCAGTATTGTCTATAGTAGGTGCTTGTGATAAAATGCATTTGCCATAGCCCACAGTACTTTCATCTTTTATTCTTGTTAGATATGTATAATGAAACAGTGAGTGTCAAGATATTGGAAGATGAAGTAGTTATACATAAGTATTTATTGTATACAAAATGTGAAGTTACAAAATAACGTATTTATACTTTTCGCGTTTGAATTTCTATTGGTATGATCTTATATGGTGAGGCTTACACTTTGATTGATGATCATACGTTGTGACGAGGCTCACAACACCTCAACGCACATTTTAGCTTTTCTAAACATGGGTAGTTCTCTGAAACCCTTTCTATGTATTTTATCCAGTCACAAGGCACTTCAGTTTTTGGTCAACCATTTGTCCTATAGATCCTAAAAAGATGTCATTCAGTCAATTCAGATAATACTTCCAATAGAACCAAGAGTCTTAGTGCACTTACACGGACCATGTGTGTATTTACGTGTGCCTGGCATTTTCTGAAATAAATTACTTTAATGTAGCTTCCTAATTTGAGTTGAATAGGGTTCTTTAATAGATTAAGAGACTAGTTCTTTTAGTTCTCACTGTACTGATAATGTTGTTGTTGCAGGATAGGAAATACAATAAGCTATGATCAACGGCTTGTGAACATGTGCATGATACTTAATCTTCAATCCGTTCAGAAGCTGATTCTTCAGGAAGGTGAAAAGATGGTCCTTGTATGGTTTGATACACCATATAACCAAGCAGTATATGGACTTGTAGACAAACTAGGTAATTCATTCCTGGGCCATATACTTGGTGGGGGTTTTCTTTCGTTCACTTATTCCTTTCCCCCCTCTCCACCCTTGTATAGTTTCTAATGTTTGATGTAGACTATGCATGCACATGTGTATCTTTTTCAATCTCCCTTGCACTGTTTAATCAGTGCTCTAGAGATACATATTGCTTTTTCAGGGAGCCTAGTGGTGAGGCTGATTTTTCTTCCCTTTGAAGAAAGCTCATATGCAACGTTTGCAAGGTTTGCATCAGGTTTTTATCACATCCTAAAAAGTTAATTTTCATGTCCTAAAAAGTTTATTTCCTTAAAATATGTAATAGAATGATTTTGTTGTCTAGTTATAAATAATACTCCCTCCGTTCCATTATAATTGTCCCATTTTTCCTTTTCCGTCTGTCCCACTAAATTTGTTCCATATCATATTTGGTAATATTTATGTGACTCTAATTCATTCTTACTTTATTTCCACTTTATCAATTCATTATCAACCACATAACTGTATTTTTCTTAAAAACCGCACCACTCTCCTTTTTCCCAATTTTAGGTAGACGGAGGTAGTATTACTTTATAATAGCATTGTAGCCACTGACTGGAACAACCCAAAGTATTACTCCCTCCGTCCCGCTAAGATTGTCCCATTTTAGTACGTCCCACTAAGGGCCCGTTTGTTACGAATTACGATGCAAAGTAAACACTTCGCATGCAAAGTGTGGGGAAGTAAACATTTTACATCGTTTGTTTTAACTGTTGTGTAATGTAAACTGTAGGGCACTTTTTCAAAAACATTTTACACTGTACCATGTAAAATACTTTACGTGGGGGGACGGTAGTAAACTAGTTTACACCCGTGTTATACAGAGAAAAAATACAACTGTCGAATTACAATTTCAATCTATCCACCGAAGTACTGAACTATCTGGTGCATTCGTGTATCATCATCACTTTCTGGTGCAAGATCTCAAATAAATGAATCTCTTGCTGGTGCAATCGTCTATTACTGGAAAAGGTTGCACCTATTAAATTGCTTCTCTGTTGAGTGGTTGGCTTCATAATCTGCTAGAGTGGTGTCGATTCTACATTCCAGATTTTCGAGATTCGAATAGAACTTGGCTAGGAAAATGTGCACGGTGTTTGCTAAATGGCCAAAAAATCTTGTGGTTCACACCAAGGCTTGTTGAACGGGCACAGTATTACTTTTGTAAAAGTTTTACATTCTAAAGAGTTTGCATGTAAAGAAATATAGACTGCCAAATGGTTTATTTTTATTTTACATGCAAACTAAATACAGCCCTAAACTTTACATGCAATCATTTTACGTGTAATATTTTAATGTGTGAACTAACAAATGAGCCCTAAGATTGTCCCATACCAAATTTGGTAAAGTTTGTGTGGGTCTAAATCATTTTACTTTATCAATTCACTATCAACCATATAAACCATTTTTTATTGGTTTGTGTGTCACTCCCTCTTGTCCCATTGGTAGTGGGACGGAGGGAGTAGATCACTTCTTACAGGTGATCAAACTATGAATTGTTTGTTTATATTTTACAAATAACCCATCACACAGGAATATAGATGCTATTAATCTAAAGGGACTGAAATGCTTTGAGCAAGATCCTGATATGGTGGACTCGTCGAGAGACTCAACTTTGTCAGTGTAATTAAGCTAGCAATTATATGATGTTATTAATGAAAGAAACCTCCGTTTTTTACTACTCAAAAATCTTGAAGAGCAACTAAATGGAGTACTAACCTGTTGGAATATTTCTATAAGGAACATATTACAAAATTAGAATATCAATATCTAATAGGAAACAATTTCAAATAACAATATTAGGAAATCGAAACTAAGGGTGTTTTTACTTGGACTGGTTTCAGTCCTAAACCAGACCAGACTTTGACAATTGTAAATACACATAGACCAGACATCTACTAGACCAGTTCAGACCAGACCAGGCTTAAAAATTCAGTCTAAGTAAAACATCATAATATTCTAATAATAATAATCTTAGGATAATAACATCAATAATACCCACAAGAACAACAAAAATAGGAAGACTCTTTCTGCAATACTCTGCTCTTTTCGATCCGTGTTGCTTTAGGACGAGTCACATCATATCAAGGTCCCTCCAAGTTTTAGCAATAAAGGAATCCAAGTGAATTTAGCTTGGTTCCATATTATAAAAGTGTCCATGGACAAAATTTCAATTAATTTAACACTAGATAACAAATAAAACAATACTACCTCTGTTCCATAATGTAAGATGCATGCGGGTTTGGTGCGTTTTTAAGAAAGAGACAAATGGATCCACAAAAAGTAAAGGGTGAAATGATACATAAAGGGATAAAGTGGGAACATAAAAAGTTAGTGGAGTCCAATTTAAGAAAGTGTTCATATTTTTGGGAAAACCAAAAAAGGAAAGTGAATCCTACAAAATGGGACGGATGGAGTATTTTTAAAATCTTTAAGTCTTTAATAAATAAGGATTAGAAAACTTATCCTTCTAGATGGTTCAAGTAAAGGGACATAAGTTTTCAATCTAGGAATTGATGTGGTCCAATAGTTATTCTCATCTTAGATTTAGAGCGAATTCATTCATCACAAAAGAGTTGTGCACCTGCAGGAGATCAAGAACGGAAAAAGGAGAAATTGGGAAGGAGTCTGACAGATGCACTGAAGCTTGTTTTGCTTATTGGTAGGCAACTGGGTATTACAAATTAATCGATTATGTTTGATAATGTACAGCTTTTTAATGGTCAATTATACCACTTAAACATTTTTCCAGGATTATTTTGAGTCATTGACTATATAACTGCTTGCTAATTTAGCTTTACAAAAATTTTGTTCAATTTTTTTAGCTGACCTTAAAAACCGGCTTTTTGGACTGACAGAATATCTTATACCCCGCGGTACTTTGTTTGAGCAATTCCGTTTAATTTTCTTCCATGCAGTAAGAAATATTCCATAATAAGGTCCAATTATGGACTTTGAATTGTAGTATTAGTCCCTTGATGTTGCGGTGTTTTAGCTAGTAAATGCATCTTTTCCTTTCTTTTTCTCCTAAAGCTTATCATTTTGATGGACAGGTCTAGTTGTTATCGCGTTTGGTCCAAGCTATTCGTACTCCCTCATCAGATTGCTGTATGGTAGAAAATGGAGCGATGGAGAAGCTACCAAAGTACTCCAATGCTATTGCCTTTATGTGATAGTTTTGGCCATGAATGGTAAATTTTTGCAAATGTAACTTAGGTGTATTTTGTTTGTGAGTTAAGATATCCTGAAGTTGGATTTTGCCGAATTTTATGCTACATCGTAATGTTGATTATCTCCAAGAAAAAATGTTTTATTTGCTTGTTTGGAAATATAAGATATCACATTTTCAATTAGGGACGTCTGAAGCATTTCTACAGGCAGTTGCAACAAAGGAAAAGCTTAAACGGTCAAATGGTTCATTGCTTGTTTTCTCATTGATATATGTGATCGCGAACGTCTTGCTTATCAGATCAGCAGGCGCAATTGGATTGATTTTGGCAAACTCCCTGAGTATCCTTTTCAAAATATCTCTAATTGAGGTTATTCAAATTTTAAAAGTTATGTGTTGATTGATTGACGGTTCATGTAGTCTATGCTTTTTGCCTTCTTTGACTGCAATAGATATGATCCTCAGGATAGTTTACTCGGCGGTTTTCATCAAAGAGTATTTCAAGGTAGCATAGCTCTGATATTATTAATGCGTACAAAATAATAGTAGTAGTTTTGATTATATCTTTGACATTTTAGAATTGTTACAGGAATCATCATCCTTTGCGTTTAGAGCTTGCATGCCTGGAGGTTATGAATTTGTGTTGCTATCAGGAGTAGCCACCTTCATAGTTGAAAGGATGTACCTTAACCGAGACAGCTTCTCTGCCACCTTTACCATTCACTTCTCATTTGGTTTATTCTGTTTTCTTGTGTCCGCTTTCGTTATGTGAGTATCTTTTTATGCATTTTTTCTCTTATCGGATGTCAATGAATTCTTCTGTTTGAGTCTAGACCTTTGGGGAAAGAGTATGATTAAATTTGTAAATATCTGTATATATATGTACGTATTATGTGTGCCTGTGTGTGCATATATGTGTGTGTATATTTATAATATGTACTATGTATGTTCATTTAGATTTTGGATCAATTAAAGTGTCATTCTCATTAGAGATAAGAATAAAATTGGTGCATCAGATTTATGATATAATGGCTCAAATATGTCAAAAATGCATTAAGTTAAATTACAAATGCTGTTATATTTCTCAAAATAATTTAAAATTTTTCTTCGTTGCAAAAGTACTCTTCCTGAATGCAGTAGTGTGCTATATATAATCAAAAGTGGAAAGTGAGTAGTGTGCTATATATGTTTAAAAGTGTGTAGTGTGTAGTGTGCTAGATACAATTAAAAGTGGATTCTTTAGCACTTTTCATGAGAACACCCGTTTTTCTTAAAACTGGACTCTATATGTGTATCTATATGTATGTATATATATGTATGTGTATATATATGTGTGTGTATATGTGTCTGTGTGTATATTATAATATATACTCCGTATTATGTATGTACATGTAGATTTTGGATCAAATAAAAAGGGTCATCCTCATTAGAGATGAGAATAACTTTGGTTCATCAGATTTATGATATAATGGCTCAAATGTGTCAAAAATGCATTAAGTTAAGTTAAAAATGATGTTACATTTCTCAAAATAATTTAAAGTTTTTCTTCATTGCAATAAGTACTCTTCCTGAATGCAGCAGTAGTGTGCTATATATAATAAAGAGTGGAAAGTGAGTAATGTGCTATATGAACAAAAGTTGAAAGTGAGTATTGTGCTAGATACGATTAGAAGTGTATGGGACACCCGTTCTTTTTAAATCTGGACTCTGTATATGTGCATCTATATGTATGTGTATATATGCGTGTGTTTGCCAACGGGCACACAGATTTTACTTAATGTGCCCTTCTATTAATGGACTAATTCTATTTATGATAAATTTTATGATCAGCTATCAAAAGGAGAGGCCTTTCATCACGAAAATTATACGCTTCCGCGAACACGCTGATTGAATATGTTAAAGAATTACATCTTGGTCAGTTGGGTTTGTGAAAAGTTTTGCTCTGTTTCAAGATCAAGGAATCACATGTACTGAATAACATAATTTTTACATTAATTGCTGTAATCCATCAATTTCCACATGAAATTATTGTCTAACGATACGAGCATTTCTGGTATCCTATGCTTCTACCAGATGTTCATCCCACTTTTTATAATTGATTTTCCTTCCAAACAATTATGTCACGGAATTTGTACAACCATATGTTCTGTATTCAATTCTCTCGGAGTCTTGAACCTATCTACTATATCTAGTATAAGTACATACGAAATGTAATTATTGTTTTTCCAAGTGAAAACTTAGCTGGGTGTTTTCTTATTTTACGGGAGAAGCCAACACTTAGGCATGGCCCGGGCCCGGGCATGGGCCTGACCGGGCTTTTTTGGGGAAAGTTGAGGCCCGGAATCGGCCCGGTTATCCACCGGTTCTGTCCTTCTGGGCCGGTTCAACTTTTTTGCTTTTCTAATTAACCCTCGACCCCACCCCCCTCACCCCCACCCCCCAAATGCCCCCATAACACCTTGCCCGACCCGGGAAAAACAAAAATAATTGAAAAAAGGCCCAAAACCGCCCGGCCGGTTCCTATTTTGGCTGACCCGAGCCCGCCTTATGTAACCCTCGGGTCGCCGGACCGGTCTCTGGCAACACGGTGAGCCGGTTCCAAACAGTGTTGGGCCAGTCGGTTCGGAACCGGTCCATCCCTAGGCAACACCCCTTTCTTTAGGATTTCCAAAATAATGGTGATAGGAAAGAGACATTCCGAATGAATTAGGCAGAAGAGACTATTTTTATCTCGTTTACTCATTCGGAAGCCCCATTTCCGATTAAGGGGCAGGGTGCCAGGTAGCCAGGTAGGCTTGGACAGTTGGACTCGGGCCGGGTGGCCTGACCCGGAACCGGCCCGAACCGGTGGCTTGACCAGGGACCGGTTCGGGTAGGCCCGGCCCGGGGGTTTTACGGTGCGGGCTCTGGTCAGCTAAATATGGAATCGGCCCGGCCGGGCCAAGCCCGGTTCGTTTTTTTTTTGTTTTTTTTTTTTTTTTGTTTTTTCATTTTTGTGGCCATTTGTGGTGGTTTGGGGGGTGGGGGTCGGGAATTAATTAGAAAACGAAAAAAAATAGAAACTGGCCCGAGGCCCGGCCCTTCCCCCAACCACAAAAGGCCCGACCTGGCCCGGCTCCATGCCTAGTGCCAGGGTAGTTGGTTAGGAAGGTAAGGTGTGGGTTAGATAAAAAATAAAATTTCATTTTTTTAAGTGTTGTAATTTCTTACTCCGTATTTGTATTCCAATTCTTATAAGAAAAATATATCAAAATTCATAATTTGTTATGATTTTTTATGTGACATCAATAATACAAATGTAAAGTTTAAAAAAAAATAAGTTTCAATAGGATGAGGATTTCTAGATCTATAATTTTCACAAATAGATCTAAGTGCTAAAATTAAGATTTCTTAGTAAGAGAAAATAATTTAATAATGAGATCTTAAATTTAGCATTTTAATTTATTTTAAAAATTGATTTGAAAAGCGATAATAGTTCAAACTTCAATTTTTTTTAACTTTACACATGTAATATAGGTTTCATATTAAAAATAGTATTATTGTTATAAGAATTAGAGCACAAATAAAAGTATTACAAAATTAGAGAAAAATGGAATTTTATTTTATACCTAACTACAACCTACCTCCCTAACCAACTACCCAGTTATTTCGTTTTTAATTTTCCTAACCCTATTTTATTCATAAACAAGGCTTTCAAATCCCGTATTTTTGCACGGGAATTTGCAACAATATATTAGGCTTTTGTGAGTTGCAAGAGAGGGTGTTCGCACAATTGGGCATCAATATCTCTAAGTCCCGCTTAAAAGGTTCTCTTTCCGATGGATATATAGAAGTGCATCAATATACGAGTAATATTGGTGTGGTGAATTTTAAAAATAAAATAAAATGCAGAGTTCAGCATGTGTTTTCCTTGTTTTGGAAAAGGTTGTATAGCAATAATTTTGATGAGCTTGTTTTCATAGTAGATATTAGTTTTTCTTTTTCGTAATAAATGTTGCCTTGTTTTTGTGACACCAGATTTTTTAAAGTAAATGAATACCAGTATGTTACAAAATGCAATACTCAAAACCAGATACATTTTAGGCTTGTAATTTATCTACCAAAGGAATTTTATTTATGGTACTCGATAAATTCCTTGATCATATGATGGATATGACTATCTAACCACATAACTAGATTTATTTGCTCCATTTTTTAAAACAGAGAACTTATAAACTAACTGATTATAATCGGTCTGTTGGTTTTAGAACCAAACAAGTCACTTTGGTTGGTCAGTTTTCGGTGTAGTTAGCTCGGTTGGGTTCATTTAAGAGCTAGATATTTCATGCCTAAAGACTTTGAAGTCTAGGTCAGTTTAGTCCGCTCAGTCACCTTGTCACACAAGTTATTGGGATTGACATATCGATGGTTTCACTTTTCGATGGTTTCTCATTCAAACTATAATCCTTCTATCTCACAATTAAATTAGCTTGAATTCACAGATTCTTAGGCAAAATAACTTTTTAATAACTTTTCAATTATGCCGTTCCTAAAAAATATGAATGGAAAGAGAAAATTAATAAATAATGATGTACTTTTATTTTTATAGCGGTAAAGAATATCTTATCACTCAATTTTTGTAAAAAGTGGAAATAGAAGCTTAGTTTTGGAACATCAAAAAATAGAAGTGGCTACTGCTCTCATTACAAAAGAGGAAAGAGTCAATTGAGCATATTGCATGAAATAACGTAAAGAGTACGCTATATTGTATTTGACATTCATAAGTACATAAACTCGATTATTTAGTGTTAATTGAGTACCGTTGTTAGATTAACATGTTAATATACTTGAGTTGATTAATGAAATGCTAAGTAAGAACAGGTAATGGACCGAGGTTGTGGTGTCGACCTTCATGAAGCAGACCGAAAAGGGAAAATTGACATTCGGATGTCGACCTGATGGGGGAGTCGACCAGATGGGGGTGCGGTGCATCAACCAAGGTGATGTCGACCCGCGAGGGGCTGACGTCGATCAAGAGGCTGGGGGCTGACGTTGACCTACATGCAATTGACCTATTAGCATTTTGTTTGCCAACTCACCGTCGTATTAACGTGTTAATCTAACGGGTGTACTATATTGTTTTAATAGTAAAGCTGAGTTATAAAAGGTTGATGTGTCACTCTATGATTGGCTAGCAATTATAAGAATAAACATTATTTTAACGTTTGTTAAAAAACATGCTTATTAATTAGTTGCGAACTTTCCTCCATAAAAATATGTGCATTAATGCAGGGGGTGGCGACAGGGAGGGGCTGGAGGGGGCCTCGACCCCTTCAAGGAAAAAAATTCTTAAGTATATATTATGTATAAATATGTTTAATCTATAGAAAATATGTTGATATTTTAAACTTTGGCCCCTGCAAAGTAAAATTTTCAAGAACCGGCCCCTTTAACTATAGACTTCTGCCTCCGCCACTGCATTAATGAATTGATAGTTTTAGATAACACATACTACTCCGTATTATTAGACATGGATTCCTTAATGCTTATATTTGTTTGACTAACAATTATAATATTTTCCATCACCTTTATACATTTAATTTAATATAAAAAGGCTTATCAGACTCCTCTCCACAACAATACAACAATATATAGTTACTTGACAATTCTAGATACAAAAGACAAATACCTTCTAGATAATTACTCCGTAGATAATTACCAATGTAAAAACAATATATAATGAATACCGGAGTATATTTTTTCTGGATTGAAAATTTTGATTATTAACACAAAACGGAATTTGCCAAAAAAAACAAAAAAAAAATGGAATTTTACATTTTTATTTTTCATATCCATAACCTGAGATTCATAAAAAAAACTGTGTTTTTTTGCATCATCTTTAATTATAACAAGTAATTCGTTCGTTTATTAACTTTAATTGAACTTGGATTTGGACTCATCCATACCATTCATATACTCAGTATAATTCAACAAGACTCTTTTGGATGGTTAATACCTGTACTACGTACATTTAACTGATTGACCGATCCATTTAGTAATACTTAAATTTTGGGATAAGGGTCAAATTACATAATACGATTACATTAGAATCTCATATTGAACACTAACATTTCAAAATGGACCAAATTAGAAATTATGATTATGTGTATCTCATATTAGACACTAAAGTTTCATAATTTATACTTCTTAGACACCCACTTATGGTTCTCCGCTTTCTTTAATAAAAAACCTTAGTCTTATTTTTCCTTTTCTTTTTGGTGAAAATAAACTAATTTAACTTATGTATATAATTTTGGAATATTTAAATGGAGGTTTTACAATATATAATACAATTTTAATTAATAAATTCTACTCCCTCCGTATCAAATTAACTAACCCATATGCTTTTTCACGTAGTTTAAGGCAAATATATGTAAAGTAGGAGGTTTTGGTACTGCAGCGACACTGTAGCGGTACTGTAGCTGCTTTTTGGGTGGATTTATTTCCAAAAAGGGAAATAAGACTTTTATTTTGATACGTCCCGAAAAGGAAAGCGGGTCAATTAATTTGATATGGAGGGAGTACTATGTAACAATTTGAAAATATATTTAGGACTTTTCATTCATATTGTTTTTATGAAACTTTGAGAAATATCGATTTGTTCAATTGATTTAACAATAATATAGAATTCGATTACATTACAATAGATTTTTTTAATTGAACCGTCTAATTATAAACTCTAAATCTAAATACACGAATTGGGTTATTTTTATTTTTTAGGTACATAAAACAAAGTGAAAAAGGAATACTATAACTTTCAAATGTGAAGTCTTTAGTGGGTGTTCAATAATGATCAGAAAGACGTTAAATTTGATTCATTTGAAACTTTAGTGTCTAATATGAGATATATACACATGTAACCATTCATCCGCCCCCCTATAATTGTCTAATTTTTTCATTTTTGGATTTCCTATTATATATTGTCTCATACCATATTTGGTAACATTTGTGTGAAACTAATTCATTCTTACTTTATTCTCACTTTATCAACCCATTATCAACCTTGGTGTCCAATATGAGATTATCATAGAATCATAGTGTCCAATTTGCCCTTAACCCCTTAAATTTTGAAGTGGTTCAATTGAGTGATTCTCTTAAATTGTGGAAAAACATATTTAAAGTATAATTTATTAATAAAACAAAGTAAATATATTTATAA